CTTGCCAGGCACAGAGGTGAGACTGACTGGCCTGTAGTTCCCTGGGTCTTCTTTTTTTCCCTTTTTAAAGATGGGGGCTATGTTTCTCCTTTTCCAGTCATTGGGAACTTCACCAGATTGCCATGACTCGTGAAATATGATGGATAGTGGCTTAGCAACTTCATTTGCCATTTCTCTCAGGACCCGCGGATGCACCTCATCAGGTCCCATGGACTTGTCCACCTTCAGGTTCTTTAGGTGGTCTCAAACCTGATCTTCTCCTACAGTGGGCAGTTCTTCATTCTCCTTGTCCCTGCCTTTGCCTTCTGGGACCGGGCTGTGCAGCTGCAGCTCTTGCCAGTGAAGACTGAGGCAAAGAAGTCCTTGAGAACCTCAGCCTTCTCCATATGCCTGGTAGCCAGGTCCCCTGGTTCCTTCTGGAGAGGGCCTACATTTTCCCTAGATCCCTTTTTATCACTGACATATCTATAGAAGTTTTTCTTGTTGCCCTTGATGTCCCTGTCCAGATTTAACTCTTTCAGGGCTTTAGCTTTCCTAACCTGATCTCTGGTTGCTCGGACAATCGCTCCGTATTCTTCCCAGGCTGCCTGTCCTTGTTTCCACCCTCTATAGGCCTCCTTTTTGTGCCTGAGTTGGTCCAGGAGCTCCTTGTTCATCCATGCAGGCCTCCTGGTGTTCCTACCTGACTTTCTCTTCATTGGGATGCACCGCTCCTGAGCTTGGAGAAGATGATCCTTAAATATTAACAAGATTTCTTGTGCTCCTCTTCCCTCCAGGGCTTCATCCCATTGTACTCTACCAAGAGATTCTTGAAGAGGCCAAAGTGTGCTCTCCTGAAGACCAGGGCAGTGAGCTTGCTGTGCTCTCTCCTCGCTACCCTTAGAATCTTGAACTCCACCATTTCATGGTCACTGCAGCCAAGGCTGTCCTTGAGCGTCACGTTCCCCACCAGCCCTTCTTTGTTGGTGAGAACAAGGTCCAGCAAAGCACCTCTCCTCATTGGTTCCTCTATCTCTTGGAGAAGGAAGTTACCATCCATGCATTCCAGGAACCTCCTGGATTGCCTATGCCCTGCCGTGTTGTCCCTCCAACAGATATTGGGGTGGTTGAAGTCCCCCATGAGGACCAGGGCTTGTGAACGTGAGGCAGCTCCTATCTGTCTGTAGAGGGCCTCATCCACTCCGTCCTCCTGGTCAGGTGGTCTGTAGCAGACCCCCACTACTTCGTCCCCTGTCCCTGTCCTCCCTTTAATCCTGACCCATAAGATCTCAGTTGGCACCTCATCCGTCCACAGGTGCAGCTCCATGCACTCCAGCTGGTCTTTGACATGGAGGGCAACCCCTCCTCCTCTTCTACCCTGCCTGTCCTTCCTAAAGAGCCTGTACCCTTCCATTCTGACACTCCAGTCAAAGGATTCATCCCAGCACATCTCCGTGATGCCAATAATATTCCTGCAGGCACACACACACCTCTGACTCCTCTTGCTTGTTCCCCGTGCTGCGTGCCTTAGCATAGAGGCATTTAAGTTGGGCCCCAGTGTTCGCTCTCGCTGTTGTTGTGAGCACTGGGACTGCTGGTTTCGGTGACAGCTCCTAAAGCCCAGGAAGGAGGGTTGGTTAACTGGTGCTGAAGTGGGGAAGGGTGTTTTGTCTGGACTGGGCTTTCAGGGGCCTGGTTGTGCATCAGGGCAGAGCTGGGCTCCTCAGGGCTCCTGGTGCCCAGCAGACCCTGGCTGTGGGCACCAGTGCAAGCTCTGCTTTAGTGCTCAGCCGTTCCTGCGCTGCGGGGGTGAGGCAGCACCGTGAAGGAGCACGGAGTCCCGCGGTGGAGCGTGTGATACGGGAGCAAAACGCCCTTGGAACCCGGGTCAGTGGTGCCCTGCAGCAGGGAGGGCTCCTCCGGCTGCGCCTTCGTGGGCATTTCCCTGTGTCGTTTTGGCTGTTGGTAGCCTGGGTAGTCTGGTGCCAGCCTTGGCACAGGCCGGGCTGTGCTCCATGTCTCTCACCACGCCAGAAGGAGCTGTGCCAGCAAACCCCCCTGGCTTTGCCGCTGCGGCTGAGCCTCTGCCTGGAGGTGCCCGCTGACGTGGCTGCGCTGCGTTCGGCTGTCTGAGAGTGTCTGGGCCAGGGTTGAATCCCGGGTGCCGAGCGTGGCGCGAGGGCGGAGCAGGACAAAGCTGCTCGTTACCCAGCAAGCGTCACGCCAGGGTGCAAACACCCAGAGGGGGCAAAGGGACAAGATGTGCCCTGGTGCCCTGCGTCAGGCGCTGCCGCCCGGGGACTCTTGGAGCGGCGCCGGGGTCTGCGGGGGGTGCCGAAGGCCTGTTAGATCCGGCTGGGCTCCCTTGCTTGGGTTGGCCTCTTGCATGGTGGTTTTTGGGGCCTGGTTCTGAGCAAGCCCAGCAGCTCCTTGCAGGATCACGTTTGCAGCCAGGTGTCCGTGCCTGCTGTGTCCCCTTTGCTCCTGCAAATCACAGTAACCCAAACTCCTCTCCCTCTTCCAGCAAAAGTACTTCGATTCTGGTGACTACAACATGGCCAAGGCGAAGATGAAGAACAAGCAGTTGCCAAGTGCAGGGCCAGACAAGAACCTGGTGACAGGAGACCACATCCCCACACCGCAGGACCTCCCGCAGAGAAAGTCCTCGCTTGTAACCAGCAAACTGGCAGGGTAGCCTGTGCTCACGGGCTGGCTTCTTTTCCTTGTTTTCTTTTTTCTTTTGGCTAAATGGATTGAACTTCACTGTACCATAGGGACGGGAGCACCAGAATCCACATAGTTGTTTGAGTTTTTCCAGAGAACACACACCAAAGCCGAGAAGGTGTCAGAGCCCGGGACGCACAGGCGGGTGGGGCCGGGCCGGGCCTCCTACCGAGTTTCTGCCGTAATTTTCCTGCTGTTTGAAACCATCCTTGCTGGCAGAGCCACTGCAGCGCTGCCTCCTCGCTGGGAGAGCCGAGCGGCCCCGGGAGAAGCAAGGAAGTGCTCGGAGGAGTCACGTGCTGTCTGCTTGGTGCTGGGTAGGAGGGCAGAGCTCAGAGCCGTGGCGTGTGGACGCTTCCAGGCGTTGGGTGTCCGCAGAGGAGGAACCTGCGGGGCAAAAGGTGTAGCACATGATCTGGAAGTGTAGATAGGTGTGTGTCGAGCTTGTCAGTGAAGAAATTAGCTGATACACAAAAAATTACGTGGCGGGGTTGCTGGGCTGAGCTGCCTGGGGTCTGTGCCCTGCTCGCAGGAGGGGCTGGGCGGTGTTAGAAATGGTCCTCATGGCGTGGAGCTGCAGCGAGGTGCTCGCCGTCGGCGGTAGAGCCCCACCACAGCTGCATCCGAGCAGGGCTGCGACCGAGGGGCACGGCGCGAGGCGCTCGGCTGCCCTGGAGGGTGTCGGGGTGGGTTCTCTCTCCCCAGCCAGTTCTGGCCCTGGCAAGGGTGGGAGGTGGCTCCTCTCCCGGCAGGCAGCAGAAGGTGGTGAGCTGAATCCCACCAGCAGGGCACTCGGGGCACAGGGGGTGTGGCCCAGCGGGCAGAGCCCTGTCCATCATGTACAGCCCCTGCCTGATGCCTGGACTTTGGTGCTTGGGCAGCGGCTGCTGAGGCAGATGAGAGCTGTTGGAGCTGATCTCTGGAGAGAGGGAGAACTGGGAATAACCACCCTGGAAGGGGAAAGAAAGCACTGGAGACAGCGAGCATGGAGATTAGGAAGGGAGGAGTGTAGAGATGAACCCGTGTGGACAGTGTCAGGCACCCCAAGCTTGGATTTCTTTCTTTTTTTCTCCCTTTTTTTTTCTTCTTGCCTTTTCTTTGTTCCAGGCTGGAAAAAAACAAACCGAAAAAAGCCCAAAACCAAACCGAAGGTTGGTGTGGTGGCTGCAGCCTGCAGAACGACGTGCCTGCTTGGTGCATGTGCTGTCCATTCCTTGTGCTGTGGAGACGGAGCGGCTGGGGCCCTACAGCGGCAGCGCTCAACCTGCCTGGCTGTGCAGGCATGTGGGCAAAAGGAAGTCAAGTGGATGTCTGGTTTGGTTTTTGGTTTTTTTTGGTTGGGTTTTGGTTTGGTTTTGTTTGGTGGGGAGAGGGTTTTTTTGGGTGGGTTTTTTTGGATTTTTTTTTTCCTTCGGGATTCCCATCAGTTCAGGAGAAACCAAGGCAGGAAGGCGACAGGTGATGCTCTGCGTGGGCACAGCTTTCCTTACGTGTGCTCTTGGCTGGCTCACTCGGGCTTTCCCGAGAACCTGTGTCACTCCTCGTGTTTTCCGCTGTTGGCTGGCGCGAGGAACGTGGTGTTACTTCCCGGAAGGGCGTTTGCCAAGGGTGTGCTGAACGCTTGCGTCCGCCCTCCGACGCTTTGGAGCAAGCCAGCCGCAGCCCACGTCAGGGTGCTGTGAGCCCCGTGGCCGAGAGGACAGTTTTTGTGAAGTGGGAGGGAGCACAGG